AGAAGTGCTCTAGTTGACGATGAGAAGTGCTAGGCTGGTAGCAAGCAAGATCTTTGGCTGAGAACGATGAGTGGTGCTGTTTGAGGACTGGTGAGACACGCTGAGAGCCCGGTTCAGTCACAACGTGAGGCTGAACGACCCGCTGAAGTGTCGGCCGGCGGCGCCGAAGCTGGCCTCGACACCTTTGCGGGGTCGCAGCAGCTGACGGTCGCGACCTTCGATGAGCTGGGCTACTGCGAGACGGAGGGTCCTCACCTACGAAGTGGATCATCGTGTGATGTCTGCGCCCGCAGGTTTTGCATCGTACCGTAGATTTGCAGTCTCTGAGATTGTGCTGTCCTAGGCAGTTGAAGCAGAGCCACTTTTGGACCACCAATTCCTTGCGAGCGACTGGAGTGAGCTCCTGGAACTTGGGGCAGGTGACGACGTAGTGGTCGTCGGTGCACATTGGGCAAGGCATGCGACTAGCGTCTGCTCATTAGGAGGTCTACAAGGGATGAGATGTTCCAGTGGTGTTTGCCACGAACTCGACTTTGCTCGGAGCTGACGCTGATTGCTTATTGCTGCTGGTCTGCCTTGAGGTGCCGTTCGGTTTTTGCTCAGCTAATTTTGCAGGAGGCGGTGCGTTACAGTGCGCAGCCATGCACTCGGACGCGCGAGCGTGCCCCGTGAAGAGCGACTTTGCGCGTACGTGGGATAGGCGGTAGATGCGCCTATCTTATTCTCCCACGCTTTCCGGGTTTCGAAGTTTAACCTCTGAGACTGAGTGCAGACCAGGATCGGGTCCCATTGATCGGGTCCCATTGATCCCAGAGCTGTTAAAGAGTTGAGCGATTCGGTGTAGTTGACGATGAGCGCATTTAGGTCTTTTGCTGAGCCGGCCTGAAGAGGTTCGGTGACAAAGAGCCTTTCAAGGTGAGCGCTGATCAGCAAGCGATTTTCGTACTGATTGGTGAGAAGTTCCCAAGCGGTATCGAACGCTTCATCAGTGAGGCTGATCGTGGAGATGAGTTGTGCTGGTTGCCCTGACAGACGTGAGTGAAGATCTTCCCTATCTTCCCATCTTCCCTACAGCAGTCATCCCTGAAGGTTCTCCAGCCGGTGATTTTTCCTCAGAACTTCGGTAGCTTCATCTCGAAACGGTTGGGCACGGCCACGACCACTGAAACAGCCCCAGCGTGATTCGGGCGTCGGAATGATTGAGATAGAACATCCGCTGTCTCGTCCTTTGCACGGATGAGAGAGACTATGCGCGCTCTGACTGCGGTGTATCGGTCCAGGCAAACGTCGTAGACCTACTCCGTCATGTATGTCTCCTGAAGAATTGAAGTATCCTTGGGCAGGAGCAACTTCTTGTGCTGCTTCTCAAAGTCTCTCCACTTCAGCTCGAGGATGTCGAGACGTGACGGCACTGTCGCTATGTCAAGATTCAATGCGGTACTCTTCTGCAAGTCGTTATGAACTGCTCGATACACTTTGCACGACTTGCCTGAAGAGCGATCCTGCCAGAGAACGACGACATGATGAGGACTCGTTGATTACGTGATGCAGTGCTAGTAGTGGGAGAACGTCTCAACTGATTCTTACTGGCATGAGAGTGTACTGAACAATTCCAAAAGAATCAATTTTTTCTCTCCGAAACATTCACAATAAGAATAGCGAAATGAAATGACGATGATGATGTGAGCGCTCGGATTTCCATGAATGAGTGGAAGCTGGGGATAAATTACTCTTAAAGCGATAACTGAATGGTAATACCTACAATTTTTTTGTGCTGATCAGTGATCGACGGTGAGTTCACTACTGTCGATTAATGATCGACCGCTAATGCTTTGCGATACCTGTACCGACTAATGAGGGAATTACCCCGAAGCGCCGATGAGATCGGCCGTAAGGTGACGGAGCGTGAGATGGCGCTTCGATGATGTTTCTACTGCTCGGCTGAGGTGATTGCACTGCTCCTCACTGTCCACTGTTCTTCAAATTCCTGCGATTCAAAACAAACACGACCTTCGAGTATCCGGCTCGAAAGAACAAAAATGTAAATAAAGAAATCAATATTGTTGCTGGATGGCGAAGGTATGTTATTCGCGATAGAATAACGTGTTATATTGTCACTAATCTTAAATATAATAAATCTGTTGCCGATTCTGTGTTCGCGATTCACGCTAAAACTACTGAATGGATTTTGATGGGGTTTTCACTGTTAAATAGCTTAAGGTCCCCAGATGGCTTTAGGCTATAATTTATTGCGCTGCGTTGCATAGTTCAGTATGCAACGTGGAAACTTCTAGAAAATTCGAGAACTTTTTGGAACTTTCTGGAGAGGTGTGGAACTTTCTAGAGAAATCTAGGATATTCTCGAGTTTTTGGAAAAAATTTCAAATTTTCGAGAAAATTTATAGAAAATTCGAGAAAATTCACCTATTTTTCCAGAATATTCGAGACAATTTTCCAGTTCCATAACAATAAGCATAGTCAGCGTACACCTGGCAGAGCAAAGGCTCTCGAACCTTCCACTCTAAAGTATTGGGGTTTCACCTTGGGTTTGCGTGGAGGGTGTGGAGGGGACGTCGAAAATAAACACCGTCGATTCACGATCAGCAGAGCAAAAGCTCACGATTAGAATTTGTTGCGCTGCATTGCATAGTTTATTATGAAACATAGAAACTTCTAGAATATTCTAGAACTTTCTGGAAAATTCTAGAACTTTTTGGAAAATTCTAGAACTTTCTGGAAAATTCTAGAACTTTCCAGAGAAATCTAGGATATTCTCAAGTTTTTGAAAATTCTTTCGAGAAAATTGAAAAAAATTCTCGTTTTATAGAAAATTCGAGAAAATTCACCGATTTTTCTAGTATATTCGAGAAAATTTTTCCAATTTTATAACGATGAGCATAGTTGGCGTATACCTGGCAGAGCAAAGGCTCTTGAACCTCTCACTCTAAAGTATTGGGGTTTCACCTTGGGTTTGCGTGGAGGGTGTGGAAGGGACGTCGAAAATAAACACCGTCGATAATAATGATGTCATAAATGTTCACCTTCATTTTTATTTCTACCCTGTTGCATAATAAATTGAAATCTAAATGTAGAAACTTTCCAAAAATTCTAAAACTTTCTGAATAATTCTAAAATTTTCCATTCAAGGGTTTTCCAAACAAATGAAGAAAATTCTGGAGTATTCTAAAACAATCAAGAATAATAATACGTTTAACATAATCTCGATATTTATTTTTTTCTATTTTGCCCGAGCGAAGCCGGGGTCCATAGCTAGTATACACTATATACAGGAAAAATTAGCACTAACAGACTACACGAGATGCACTGAACAAAAGCCTACCATAGCAGATGATACCATAATAAAAGAAAAGCAAAGCTAGTATCAAGTTGAAGCCGCGCTGTGATGCACCTATGTTGTTCATTGTTGCATTTAATTGTGAGTTTTGTACTGTATTCTAATTGAAATAAAAAACTGCCGTGATTAAGTGCTGTGACAACTACTATGATTAAGTGCTGTGATAAATTCTGTGATTCTGTGCTGTGATAACTACTGTGATGCTGGGCTGTGATAAAACTACTATGATACACGCGGAACGAGACCACGAAGACAAGTGCCCGAGAGAGTTGCTTTTGGTGAGATGTGAGAAACATTGTCATTGACAGGTGTCCGTCAGGTGCTGCCGCATGAGCCTGATGTGACAGATCGCTATTTGATTGATCGAGAGTGACTGGTGTATGAGGGTGAGTGAATGCGGCGGGATCCGTAACTACACACTGACTCCTTACCATTAATTCCTCCTATACCGATATCGACTCTTACATCTAGCCGGCAGGCCTCGATCCATCCAGTTTAAATTCTGGGTCTCTTCTCATCTGTTCAACGTGTCATGCTGAGAAATCTGTATCATTTCAGAGATATTTTAGGTTTCTTTCAGTACATCTCTGTATCCAGAATCGATGCATTTCCAAATTTGAAGGCCCTCATCGAAATGGTTAATTGCCAGTGCTGTTTTCGCGCTCCTCAAGATTCTAGCTCGAGTGCAGTTATACTTATGCTGAAGAATCTGATCACTTAGTCTCTGTCTAGTTTGCCCAATGTAGCGGAGCACTCCCAAGGAATCCAATAGACTAACTCAGACATATTCTCCAGTGATATCTCATCCTTCAATCTCGAGTAAACCTCCCCCACCTTCGAATCCGTGTTCTTAAAACAGCGCTCCAACCTCTGGGAGACATTATGAACAAGGAAAATTTGAAACTCTTCCTCATCTGGGCCTCATCTCTCGGTCTTGGGATCCCCACCCAGCTATTCAAGAGGAAAACTGTGGCGGAAAGCTGGGAGAAGTAGGCGCCGTTGGTGCGTGCTTCAAAATCTCTACTGATTGAACGAATCAACTTCTACTTTGAAGCTAGTTACTTCATCTTCAACAAGCAACTGAACCAGCAGATTGATGATTATTATGATTTGTCGAATTATTTTCATTTTAGTCAATTTGGTTATTTATTAAGAATTTTCATTTCATTTTTGAAAATTTTTACAAAATGGTCTTATTCTAGGTCAGGACTGTCATGTGTATTTTTTCATTGGTATGTTTATTTATTTCCGGAGCCTGAGAAAGCTTAAATAATAAGCGAAATGTTGTGAATTGACAATGAAATAGTACTGTATATTCATTTCATCCAAAAAATCACATGATTCACACTTGATTTTTTCGAGATTTTACATAATTTTTTTTGTTGAATTGTACGAATCAAATACGAATCTGACGTGTATAAATCTGTTCAGAATAGGATCTTTAAAGATGTGACACTTCGATATTGCGTTCTGAATCAAAAGTGAATGAGCAATGAGCGGTGGGGTAATAAACTATTCCAGCACATCCGTCGAAGTAGCACTCAGGTGGTGTATCCATAGAGGGTCGAATTGCTACAAAACTATTTGGTTGATAATAATGTACTTTATAATCATCTTTTCATTCGGCTGCATACATATATTCTAGGTAGTGATCGGTAACACTGGATACAGACTCAATCGTGGGGTGGGTCAAGGTCTCAGTCTATCATCTATTTTGGCCAACATCTACTACGGGACAATGGAGATGGAAGAGTTCCAAGAATTCAGACAGGACGGATGGTTGGTAAGATACGTTGATGACTTCCTCTACGTCACTGATAACAAAGAATCTGCAGAAAGGTAAGTCGACATGGATGTCTAAGTTCAGATTGTAAAGTAACAGAAAGTAAGTGGTAGATTTCAATGCCTATAAGCGAGCACAGTCATTGTTGCTAATGACCAAGCAATATATTTCCCAATAGATTGAATTTTGGTTCTCTTACACCATCCCTTTTAGGGCCTGTCTTCACCGTATTTGTTTTTTATTTGTATCTCTAAATTCCCCAGAAGTCCTCAGAAACTATGTTCCTTATATCTGTTTACGGATATACTAATTGGGGGGGGGGGGGTTAAACAGACATGAAAAATTACAATTTTGAGGTCAGACGAAAGGTCGCAATCTCCCACATGGCGGAAATTAGGTCTCGAGTGGGTGCTGTTTCTGTCGGAATTATAATCAGTGTTTGTTTCGAGAATGGGATTCGGCCGCCATTTTGGAAGATTTGGTCGCCATATGGTGATTTTGAACACCAAAAGGGAGGCGCGGTATATCCTTATTATTAGATACTGATCATCATTATTTCTCTCTGAGACCTAATTTCCAATATGTGTGGGATTATGACCTTTCACCTGGCCTCAAAATTGCAATTTTTCACGTTATTTTACGCCCGCAATTAGTATACCCGTAAACGGGTTAATGGACATGGATTCGGGGCAATTCTGGGATACCCTAGCGGATCCAGTGGAGAGTCCAACTCTCTATTTGTTCCACGATTAGAGAGGAAGTAGAGAATGGGTAGAGAGTTGAGCTGACAGGGCAGATTGTCTACTCTCCAATGCTTTGAGAAAGTAGATAGCTGAGGCGAGGGATATGCTGACCCTTATTAACTATGGCCCTTGAGAAATTTGACCCTCTAACCGACTGATCCTTGTACTTGGGACCTGCTTGAACTCCCGGAGCTCAAACTTTTGGACCCTGGAATGTTTTCAGCTGAAAATACTCTGATTTCATTTGAAATTTTTTAATTGGATCTTTGTGACCCTTATAATTTCAGACCCCTATTATTCCAGACCCTTAAATTGGGACTCTCAATAATTCTGACCCTTGAAAATATTGAGAAGTGCAACTTTTGACCGTTAAACCTTCAGACCCTTAGACTAGCCGTACTATCTACTCTCTATTGTTGTAGAGAGTAGATAGTTGGGATCGGATGCATGGTGGGGGCTACTGTCTACTCTCTACGCATCTAGAGAGTAGATAGTTGGCGGTAGGTGCGAGGTGGGGGCATTCAGACCCTTAATTTTTAGACCCTTAACGTTCCTCGTGACCCTAAAAATTTGACCCTAAATGGTGTTGACCCTTGAACATGTACAGAGTGAAATTTTAGACTTAAAATTTCTGACCCTTAGACTAGTCGTACTATCTACTCTCTACTGTTGTAGAGAGTAGATAGTTGGGATCGGATGCGTGGTGGGGGCTACTCTCTACTCTCTACTCGTCTAGAGAGTAGATAGTTGGCGCCAGGTGCTTGGCGGGGGCATTCAGACCCTTTATTTTTTAGACCCTTATCATTCCTCATGACTCTTGAAACATGACCCTCAATAGTGCTGACCCTTGAAAATGATAAGAGTCAAATTTTTGACCCTCAATATTTCTGATCCTTAGACTAGCCGTACTATCTACTCTCTACTTTTGTAGAGAGTAGATAGTTGGGATTGCATGCGTGGTGGGGGCTACTCTCCACTCTCTACCTTTCTAAAGAGTAGATAGTTGGAATCGGATACGTGGTGGGGGCTACTCTCTCCTCTCTACAGTTTCCAGAGAGTTGACCGATTGGTTTCCTGACGCTCCATCCAATGATTATTAAGAATTTTGACATTTTAATGTTCTAATGTTTATATTCCTCCCTCCTCTTATTGATAATTAATTGACCTTAATTTTCCGGTTCCTTGAATCCTTGGACACTCATATTTTCCAATTGATTCGTGCTGATCTCTACTTTTCCTGATTCTCATGTCACTCTTATTGTCAGTTCAGGTATTTTCAATTCAGTCGCCTCTATTTATATTGTTATTACATGTAGGTTAGGAATGAATAGATAAAACAATTTAATTTTTTTTTCCTTTTACTCCGAATACCATTTTACACCTCTCATGTCTTTTTTTTTTTTACATAAAATTGACATTAGCATTTTCTGTTTTCAAACTCGATTCAACCTTCCATATCGTCCCCAAATATAGGAATGCGCCGAAACAACGGAGCATTGTTATGGAATTATATGACTATTCTTTGTTGCACAACTCTCAGTCTTTTTCCCATACATTCGGGAGTGATACAGCATAGATGGTATCCATTACCGTCACCTGAAATGCTGGTGCCTGGACTCTATCAATCGTTACAAAACTTGTTTGATTAATTTTCTCCACTTTGTGCAAGAATGTGGTATTTTCAAAATACGTCGATCTGCTTAAATGTCTCATGAACAGTTCTCTCACAATGGCTCCTCCCTGAGTGAACTCGACAAAGTTGACCACTTCGCAAAACCTGATACCCTCACACAATGCGGTAGAATTGGAAAATTTAGTATCAGGTCGAAAATCACAACGTCTGTACTCGACGCCGTTGATGCGCGCTTTATCGAATTCAGCGAGAATTTTACATTCGTATCCAGCTGTCCTCAAAATGTCTCTTTCTTTAGTTGACGGGGCTCGTCTACGCTCACTTCCAAGGCCTGTAAATCGGCAGTGTTGAATTCTTTGTTGATTGCGTTCCATAGAGATATTGAATAGGTCTGCTATAAATGTCCTCGTCTCAGCTCGAAGTGTCTCATCGTAGGAAGAGAACTGGATGAATTTGTTCATGAAGAATCGACTGAATACTTGTAGTAATCGGCCATGTGGACCAGTTATATTATCAATAATTCTTGCGTTCATACTTTCAAACGGGAATGCGTTATTTGTCCAAAGCGGCCCCCAATTCCGAACCGTTTCGACTGTGTGAGAAAGTAGATGCACATTATATGTCATTGCAGCCTTGCCGAAGAAATTCTGGAATTTCTGCATGTAAACCTGAAATGAAGCGTCACATCGCCTCAGATCGTCACGAGTAATCGTTTTCGAATTCAAAATATAAAATGTATCACAAAGCAAAGCTAAATGGTTTAGGTATTTTTCAGGTAAGATACCTTCCAGGCATGGCAGGCAGTAGTATCCCCAGTTACGCCACTCCGTGGCCTTCCATTGACTCATGTATTTAATAGATCTGAGATATCGAGAAACTCGGCTCGGCAGGGAACTCGAAAGTAACCTCCTATCAATTTCATCTCTCGCTTTAGGACCCCCAATCTAATACGGTTTCCCGAAACCTTCCAGTAGTGTCATTGTGTGTTGTTTCATCACCCCCAAATAAGCATTGTGCATACTGTCAACAACAGGACCTTTTCGCAAGTCAAAGTGTGAGAGTGAAGCCAGAATGGTAGCTGCTTTTACGCCTCGGTGAGCCATGTTCTTTTCTGGATCCCAACGATTTTTTTCCATAAAGTTTTTCCTTATCTTCAAGGCTTCCTTGGCATCTTTTTTTATTGACGCATGGGTTCCTTGATCATATTCGCCAACAGGATAAAATCTAGTATTTGAGTTGGGATCTAACATTTCGCCTTCAGCATGACATTATGTGCAGCCAAACTCGCCGTTAAATTGCACCATCCGCAGGATATTAGGACGCGCAATGGAATGCATTGAAAACAACAGGTATAAACTTACTGCAAACTTCTGTGTCACCTTCTGGTGTCCACGTAATTCCTTTTTCATACAAATTTTTTGCTTGTTCTACAAAGTGGCTGACATAACTGTTAGCCAATGGATGGACGTCTTCGATCCAGATTCCTGCCAGCATTATATGTTTTGTGCGCAGATGCGGGGGAAGTTCATTAATGTGCACCCAAATCGGGTAAGCGCTAGCTTTAGATGAGTTCGTAACCTGTACACCATCTATATTGAAAGAAAATGAAAAATTCCATGTATTTGACAGGATTTGTCCATCTTCGCTCAATTTTTGGTATTCCTCACCGTCGAATATATCTTCAATTTCCTCTGCATTGACTTTCTGTCTATTGAATCTATATTGCAACGCATTGGCGATATCAGGGATGGTGAACAACTCTTTAATTTGAGCAGCCAAATCGATGATCAAATAATAAGATGAACTAACTCTCTTTGCACCTTCAACACATGAGCAGCGACCATCAGTTTCCCCTGTCAAACCCAATGTTTTACGGCAATATTTACAGTATATATAGCGATGGGCTGCACTATCACTTCGACACAATTTTTTCCATAATGCTTTTTTATTCTCTATAATATTTTATGTCAAGTCGTGCAGAAGTCGAGTTTTGAGCAGGCTGTGCAAAGCGCAGCATGCGATAAACTCGAGTCATTGCAGGGCGCGACATAAATAAAATTGGGTAGCGATTACGAACACATGTACTCAATATGTTGAGTGATAGACAACCGCCTAACTGAATGGATCAGACGGACACAGCTGGCATGTATGTATATTCGCGCCGAAGCTTAATAAAATCATGTCCTAAATAGGTAAAAATAACCGGCAAATGTTCAGCTCCCACGTTGAAGGTGTCGCAGATCATGAGTTCCACAACTCTGGGCCGCTGGTGCAACTTGACCATGACGCAGATGTGAACAGATGAAGAGCTCGTGATAATGTACGATAAGCCGTCCAAGTTCCAGCTGAAAAACGGGATGCGTCGAATAACGGCCGAAGAGATCGCCAAAGTCAGAGGTGCTCTCTCGCTGTCTTGCTCTCTATCTCACTGTCGCTCTCTGTTGTTGTTTCTCGCTCTCTATCTCGCTCTCGCTCTCTGTCACCGTCTATCGTTCTCCGTCGCTATCTCTCGCTCACCCTCGCTCGCTCTCGCTCTGTCTTTCACTCTCTCACACTTGCGAATGTTCTGGTACTCTAACCAATGATAACTTAATTTCAGCTATCTTAGAGAAGATGCAGAAAAAATTTCCATTGAAGGGTTTGGATGAAGATTGGGCCACAAAGGTGCATCTGATGATGG